AGGATAATTTTTCAGTCATTTCCAAAATTATAGTTACTCTTTGTGACTTCACTAATTAACCAGTTTCAAATAAAACCCTCACAGAATCTGCCTCAATCCCTACAAATTTTACTGCTGCATTACAAGACAGCTTCAGGGGAGGGGAGGGCTTTCATTTTCTGTATCATCTACTACCAAATTTTTTAAGAGGCACCAAATCATTTGGAATAAAGGGAAAAAAATATTTGAAGAGCATGAAATACAGATTTTTACCTGGTGCTTTGCTATAAAGAGTTTTTCACCATCATAATGGGGCTTGTCTGACTCACAAGATGACGTACACCAGGGGTGGGTGGGCTTTCAGGAGACAGAAATGACCCAGATTACGGGCAAATCCCAGGCTGATTCTGTGATCACCAAAAGAGGGGGTCAGGTCTAATCAAACCAAACACCCTACCCCAACACCACAAAAGCAATTTCATAGTCATTTTAAGTAGCAAAACTGTACAATAACTTCACCAAAAAATGGTGAAAGATGTATCTAAAAACTACTGGGGACCCCCAAAATTAAAAGTGGTAGATTGAAGGTCAGCCTTCTACACCTGTTGAGAAAGAGAAAAAAGAAAATGATAGGTGTGAGAGGGAATAAGAGAAAGAGTGGAATAATACTTTTCACCTGAAATTACCCAGATGGTGGCTTATTAAAACTGCTGGCTGCAGACTGAAATGACCTGGAGAACTTTGAATGACAACAAAAATACTAAAAACTCCAATGCCCAGGCCCAACACTGCTCCTTGCCCCCTTTTGATTTAACCGTCCCATGATATAGCTTGGCATCTAGTTTTTTAAAACTTCTCAGGTTCCTCTATTGTACAGCTCAAGCTGAGAGCCAATGCTTGCACACTTAGCTAGTTTTACTGAGCTTGTCCCAGGTAAAGAAGCAGGCAATGAGAAAAGAAGTGGAAATCAACTCTGCTGTTGTAAACAGCAGCTCCTATAAGAAGAATGAAGACACCCTAAAGCTAAGAACTTCACACACACACACACAACTTCCTGTGAACTTCACCTGGCTTATAACAGAGTAAGCCACAGGGCAATCTGCAAGTAAGACCCATTTTAAGGGCATGTAGATTCTACCCCTATCTTGACAACAGGTCTCTGGGCTCTGGTTATAGAACACCATAACCTTTCAGGGCAGAGCAGCAAAAAGAGGGCCCACTTCACCCCGAAACCCAAAGCACTCACTGCAGTTGCCAGCAGCACCAGAGTATCTCACATCTGGTGCACCCTCCCTACCTCCCAGACACTATACTCAGGACACATGTTGTTTAAGCCTAATAACCACTTTTACCTGTGATATCGTTGTACAACACCAAATCACTCTCCCTGCCCGCACTGGCTCAGCAAGGGTGATGGAGGCAGGCCAGAACTCAGCCCCCAGCCACAAGATGCAAGCCCTCTTTTCAACATGGTGCCACACCGCCCCCTTTCTGTGAAGTGATAGGATGTAAGAGTTGGCATAAGGTGAAGGTTACCCACCTTCATCCTAGAGCCATATAGGGAAGGAGCCCTGGTCTCTACAAACTAACAAACAATAAAATGCTTCTAAGTCCCCAAAAGACTCTGCACCTATGCAATGAAGCTGCAAGTGGCCCTGGAGAGGACAACCTGAGCACCACAGCACTGCAGCCTGTATACCACACACTTTCTTCTCCCAGTTGGAGAAGTAGGGAAGAGAAAACCACAAATTGGCACCTCTGCTTCAGCTGTTTGGGCTTGAAAAGCATCCAGCAAGTGAGGAAACTACATGGGAATCTGCCCTGAAGTGATGTCTTCGAGGGCAGATAGCCACTATGTGCAAAGCTGCTGACACAGTGGCACAAGAAGTTCGGTCTCAGCTGAGGCCTGACCACAACATTGCTTTTCCTCACTGTGCACTTAACAGATGGCTGATCACAACCCAGCAGTAACAACCATTATGTGTGATCAAGGTTGAGAGGTGAGCTGATGGACCTAAACCACAGGGATAAGGGACACTTCCTGTTGCTTTACATAAGGCAGTAAGACTCATACCAAGCACTGCCCAAAGTGAGCTCACCTGAGGCCTAAAAGAGCCTCGTAAAGCAAGGACACTTGGGGAGATGCCTACTGCCTTTCCTCGGCATGAGCTTCTCACCCTGGACCCTAAAGCCACTTCAAAACACTGAAGCCACAAACTCAAGGCATGCCACATCTAATACAATTTAATATATCAGCACTGGACACAACAAGATCCTCCCAGGCTTCCAGAGCACATCATTCTAAGGGCAAAGTCAGAAATGAGATCAGGATACATCTTAGCTCTCTGTAATCTCAGCGAAATCACTTGCCTTCTCTGAGCTTTAAGCTTCTTAAAGCACTGCTGACACAATACTATGAGGAGGCCTGGGAAGGCACATGGAGCAATGCCTGCCAATGTCAGTGGACAACATCTGCTGACTGTTGCTATTTTTGCATTTCAAAAGGCTGAACGATATGAGACTGCCAACATTTGACATTTTTGCACTACAAAAAATGGTCATTTCATGACTTAATGTACTAAGTATACTATCCTAATAAACCCCTGTCTCTGCACCAACAAGGTCAATCCACATTCACTGCCCAACAATGACAGTCCTTATGAAAGAAAGGCCCAGTATAAACACAAACACATTTCTTCCACTTGGGCAGTAAAAGCTGAAAATGGCTCCCAGGTGTGAGCAGACACAATAGCTCCGCCTTCCCTGCAAGGTCATCATGCAGGTCAAAGTCAAGCGAGCCATTTTCGGATTAGGTGCATATGCACATGAGGCATCCCCAGTGGTAACTGGATTACAGAAGCCACCTGCAGGAAGTGAGGAGGGGGAGGAGGGGGAGGAGGAGGAGGAAATGGTCCCAGTTGGAATGAGACTGTTGATATGGGCAGGGGCCAGCCCCTTTCACACGGGTGATTGTGCAACCACAGAGCAGCTCTGCTTGCAGCTCCATTTCTCCAGGAGCCCTGGAGAGTTTTCAGCACCCACTGCTGGAAGGAGCAGCACTTCCCTCAAGTCCAGCCAGGCTCCTTCAGCAGCAGGACCAACCCATATTCCCACCCATCTTGCACTATACTTAAAGGTTACATGGTCATCATGAGCGAGTGAGACAGACACTAAAGACCCAACAAAAACCAACTCTCAACAGAATTTAAGCTACTGAGTTCCCAAAAGGGGTGGGGATCTCCATGACCAAGTTCGTTTTCCATGGGCTGTCCCCTTCCTCAGCTCCCCCAGCCCTGCAGCTGGTGTTCCCTTCACTTTCTCAGCAAATAACTTGCAGATGTACCTCTCATCTGGCTGGCTCACCACCCCCACTGTGGGGGGAGGGGGAAATGACAAGTCATGACTGTGTGTAATTTGGCAAGCTCTGGAAGAGGCCTCAGCAGCTCCTTTCCCAGCCCCAGCAAAAAGGCTTGCTTCGACTGGGGGCAAAAGGACGTCTGTACTACAGATCCCTGGGAAGTTTCCGGGACGGAGAACTGCTTTCTTTGCAAATTGGGTGTTTAATTTTCTATTTTGAGGCTCACTGGTGATATCCAGCATTGGACTGGGCTGCAGTTCTAAAAACCACGGGTCCTGCTCTGCCTTCCAACAGAAGCTTGCTGGCTTTCATAACAGCCTGCCTGTTGACAAAGAAAAGAGGAGGGGAGGGCAAACTGGCCCCAAAATGGAACCGGCCATGTCCTTTCAGTGCTCCCCTGAACACTCCAAGTTCTCAATGTGCTGCTGAGCATTTAGGGTGTCCCACTTAATGCCTGTAAATTATGCCTACTTGAAAAAGGGAGAGGAAATCCATGGAAAAAGGAGCCTCAGCTACAATGTCACTCTATCCGGGAACCTTCCCTGTCACACACCCACCAACAACTTGGGAGTAAAGGGTCCCTGAGACAATGCCACTGCTTGTATGGCAACAGTGTGTTCCTCCATCTTTCTCTGCAGTTAGATGAAGTTTGAGTGCAGGAACTCAGCCTGGAGACCACACCTGTTTGTTCCTACTGGGCTTCACGTGGGACCCAGCTGGCAGCCTAGAAGCTCTAGCCTGACAGGTAGAATCTGCACCTGCATCACGAATGAGTCCAAGTTTCTCTGCTTTCCTTTCATCTCTTTTGCCTACTGCCCACCAGGTCTAACGCCTCCTCGTGTCAGAAGGCTGGGAAAATGGGAAGAGAGTAATAAGGTCACACACAATGTGGGGCTGGGAAGAGGCAACAAGACAGAGGGAACTCCTTGATTTTGATTGTCCCATTACACAAGCAGGAATTGCATGCCTCACCAACCCACCTCACCTACACTCCTTTTTGCTTCTATCTGGAACAAAGAGGTGCCCTTCAAAACTTAGACAAGGCCAAAGCCCTATCAGATACTGGTGAATCATAATCAGCAGGAAGGTACGTGGTGTTAAAACTGACTCCTGTCCTGAAATGAAGTCTGTAAGTGAGCCTGGAGCCACCAGTGCCCAGGCTTTGAGATAACAACAGGTCTTTTGCCAGGTCAGGCTGCTGTGAATACTCCCTGCCTCTGTAGTAACTGGGGAAAGTCAGCTGGTCACCAATCAACAGCAAAGTTAGCAGAAACAAACAATAGCTGTAGGCCTCAAACTATGATCCACAGCCAGGTATGTTCTGCCTGAGGAACTTGTACTCAGTGTCCCCTACCCCAGAACTCTCCTTAGAAGTGACTGCTTCACCAGAGCTTTGCAGTCCCACTGTCTTAAGACAGATGCCTGTCAGCACACAAGTGACATTAGGAATTGTCTCAGTAACTTACTGTCTCCCAAAGCCCAGGTGACTAGATAAGCACACACAAGCTTTAGGGCTTTCTTCCCCAGCCCATACAAGCCTAGCTAGTGGTTTACCTAGACAGGTTTCCAGACCAGAGGAAGCAATGTCACCTGGGAACCTGTGAGCAGACAATTCTCTTGTCCACCCAGACCCCACTGAGTCAGAATGGGTGGACCAGTCATCTGTCTCAACAGGCCCTCAGGTGATTCTGACCAATGCTCAGGTCTGAGAACCACTGGTCTACAGGTGAGGGGGGAAAGCCGCCATCTCCCCGGGGAATGGGGAAAAGGGTTTATCCAGTTTGACTTTTAATGTGGGAACCAAAAGCACTGTAGGCTGCTCAAGGAACAAAAGAAATTTACTTAGACTTAGCCTTCTGAAATAAAATTTTGTTCATGGTTTCTTACTAAGGTGGATGGAGTCAGTGTCAACTCCACAGTTTGATGACACTGTGTTTTGTTGCCAGAGCAAAGAAAATGCCAATGGCCTGGGTAAACTGTCAGTTTTTTACACTGACATCCAAAAGAACTGGCCTATCTTCAAAAGTAAGGCTAAATCCAGCTCCCATGTTGGGGAAGACTCCAAAGTGACATGGGGATAGAGCTATTCCTTATTTTTCTAACACATTTGATTAGCCCTCTCTTAACCTGATAGTTGGAGGTGGCCCAGCAAGAAGGAACATACACTTTATTTTGAGAACAGCTACCTCCATCTCACCTGTGTACATACCCACAAACCCACAGGTTCTACTATACACCAAGGCTTTTACCATGTGAGATTACCACTCAAATTTTAAACGCAATTATTATTTTGTACTTCCAGAGATAAACAAACACCATGTGCAAGAATTCACATGAATTCTTTACTATACCTGCAAATGCTGATCTTCTTTCAGGGAATGCCATATGCAGGAAGCTGGGAGGACAGCTAAGTGAAGAGAAAGGCAACAGGCCTCATTTAATTTCACTCCAGCCCTCACACATGCACACATGTGCACACACAGTTCTAAGAATGCCAGCAACCACTGCATAGTACAGTTTCACCTGTGCTTCAGCGCCTAATTACTAGCGGCCTTAACTCAGGTCCTGAAGTCGAGCCTAATTTTCCAAAGTTGAATTCTAGCTTGCTTTCTCCACTGATTCCAGAGCGGGCCCTCTGAGAGATTCTAATTATTCTCCTCTGCTCTGAGCAGCAGTAGATCATGGCTGCCTCCCCGCTAAGACTTGCTCTTTAATTATGCTTCTATGTGAATTGATCCTTGAGCCGGTAAAGAAGACTGACTTTATCCCTCTTTTTTCTAGAGGGTTTGCTACAAGAGTTAAGTGTTCCTATTGATTGAACTTCACCAGTGGATCCAGTCAAGAAAAGAGCTCAGGCTGTTGCTACCTCTGATCCCTCAAACTCCAGGTTTCCCTCACTCCCCATGGGGTCACAGACAGGATGCCATGTTTTAGTCTCTGCAAGTCCAATAAAGGGATGTTAAATATTCCATCAGTTTTTCTTTAACTAAGAAGTCATAGCAAAATAGAGTTAGTAGTTAGAACCATTTCAGATATTTTTATTTAAATTATTTATATTCTAAGTCTTCCACATACATTTGTTAACAGGAAAGAAAAGGTTTTCCTCAAAAATAAATAATAGGGCTGGGGGCATGGGTCAAGTGGTGAAGTACTTTCCTAGCAAGGACAACACTCTGAATTCAAACTTATCTACTGCTAAGGTTTCCACTATAGATACAATAAAAAAGTGTCCTTTCTGTCTGTCTGATTGTGGCAGCTAAGACTGAGCAGAGGAATACATGGGGTGGGGGGAAACAGAAACAGTTCTACCAAAAATAAGTAAGTTTTCAGACAAGTGGTTGCCATGAGCTGGAGTGAGGGAATGAGGGGGAGATGCTTAGGGAGATGAAGTTTCTTTTGGGGGTGATGAAAATGTGGAATTGGTGGTAGTTGTTCAACAGTGAGACAGTACTAAAGCAGCTGAACTGTATACTTTAAAATGGTGAGTTTGTATTATGTTTATCTCAATAAAAAACTGTTCTCAAGTGATTTTTTTCTCAAAATTCAAAGTATTTCAATGTGTTTTCAAATACAACATTAGTTTAAGGAAATGTAACAGCAATATGATATGACAAACTCACAAGTTAATTATGTGCAAGTAATTTTTGCTTAGATCTCCCACCTGGTGAAGGGATACGGTCAGAATGTTCCATACCTGGATAGGCAAGGCAGGCCCAGGGAGGGCCACGTGGAAGTACATATGGCCTCTCTACACAGGAGACAAGAGCCAAGGCTGACTTTATGGCAAGCTTTACTCCTAGGACTGAGCAAAATTCAACCATTTTCACTGCAACCAATCTTCTCAATGATACAAGTGCAGCAACACCACAGAAAAAGTGGAAATTTTTCTTCAACAGAAATGACACTTATTCATAAGACAAAATTACTGTTGCCGTGGGAATCGTAACTTGAGCTTCCTAGACTTCAAATTTTTTGTAAAAATCTGACAGTTTCTGTTCCCACTTAACAAAAGTCTGTTTCTTTTTCTGAGAACTATTTTTTATGAAATTAGTTGCCTCACTCCAACCCAATCCTATTAAAAACTTCCCTGGAGTTTTATGCTTTCTGTTACTAAGGACAAATGGCTTCAGCACTATCCTCAGAATGCGATACAAACAAATCTGTTCCCTGACAAATACTTTAATTTGATTAGATCCCTTTCACCAGACAGTATTAACCAATTGAAATTGTGCTACATGACTCCAGTTCCCAAAACTCTGAACTCCCTTCTGAAGCCTCCATATTAAAATCAGGCACAACAAACCCTCTTCCCACAAGGCCCTTGCAAGCATGACACCCAGCAAAGAAGGGAGCTGGTGTCTGAGAACTCAGCAATCTCCTGTGTGAGCAAGGATGAAGAGCTCATGTCAGGGCTACAGTCCACAGTTGCAGGTGTTAAAATTAAAGTCATGAACCTGCTACTTCTGTCAAAAGGTCTAAAGCACCAACAGTGATTATCAGACAAAGGGGTAAATGTGTCTTTTGTGACATTATCATTCCCTTCAAGATTTTGAGTCACAGGACAAATATGAAAACACTGAGGATATTTTTATCATCTCTTCCAACGCCCACATCCAATAAATTTTTTTTAAAAACCAACTTGTTCCAGATTATATCTGCATCACAGAGAAGGATATATATCAGGTCCCCACATTTCCCTGATGCAGCTGCCTAGAAACATTCCAATAAAGTTGTCCCAGATCCTCTAACTCACATGGTCCCAGCAGATATCTACTCTATTCCCTGTGGACACACTGACTACTTTTTTGATCCTCTACCTACTGAAAAAGGAGGAATAAGAGTACAGAAATTAAGGACTCTAAGTGTCTATTAACTATCATATTTACAGACAATATGTTAGGGCTTCCATATCACCTTGTGATAATCCCTGGGCCACAAATGCACTAAGGGCAGAAAAGGTTCCTACTAAATATATGCAGAACATTTGATACCTTTTCATTCTGAATAGCAACAGACACATCAGGAAAACAAAATTTTCAAGCCCTGAGTGACTGGAATCACCACGTGGATGAAGATGCTACGGCCTCTTCCACCACCTTCCGTCAGGCTGGAAAAGGTGGTCCTTTGGCTCGTCCACTGGCTGCTCTGTTACACTGTCTCCCACGTTCTTTGCATAATCCACATGGGAAATACGGAAAGGCATGCAGGATGGAAGCAAAATTGTCTGTAATCCTCTTCCCCAGACATCCACTGCTACCTAACTTTTCACAGGCACTAAACTCAGGCATCCAGCCTAAGAACAGGGAGCACAGGTATCTTAGAGAAGATGAAGAGAAAGACCCTTCAGTCTCTGTAGTTTCAGAGAAATCACTGGCCAAGTCAGATGGAGACCAGCTTCAAGCCAAAGAGGTGATGGCTGCCAACACTAACCTGCATTTTCCAAACTGAATCAAAACAAGAATAATTTTTTTCTTTCTTTTTTGCATTTGCTTTACATATTTCAGTGCTGTCTCATGTTTCTAATGGAATAGCAGGAACAAGGCCAAAAAGCCCCACTGCTCCTGGCACTGGGGCCAAGGAGCAGAAATGTATTTTTAGTCAGTAAAGCAAGGTGAGATTCAAAGTACCACAGGCCCAGGGACACATCAGGGGCTTCCTGCCTCTGAGATAGGGTGGCTCACAGTCAACCTGCCATGCTCCTGAAGTGAGTGAAGGGGGCAGACAGAGAAGCCAGGAAGGGGTATCTGCATCCAGTTTCAGTTCTACCTCTCTATCTTGCAACTTAAAAGACCGTCAGGGAGCCACAACTTCTAGGGCACTACAAAGAAATTCTCTCTGGCCCTGGCTTCCTCACCAAATGAAGAACAAAAGGAGTAAAACCAGCACTGCTCACACTTTAACAAGCGGGCTTGTCAACTGCAGCTTCTGATGGATTTGGCTTGAGATTATGCATTTCTAGTATGTACAGAACTGACAGGACACTGCTACCTGAGCTTCCAGCAGTCAGAAGTTATGAGCATCTTCAAGTGTTGTGCTTTATCATATCCCTAATTAGCCTCACATAAGGCTAACTTATTTAATTTAGCCAATAATTAAACACCTTCCAGATGCTGTGTTCAGGCCAAGTGGGTATGAAAAGAAAGCCAGACCTTTGCTTATCTATCAAGGGCCACAGAATTCATGCCCACACTTCACAGAAACAAGGATGGACTCACAAATCCTGTGGTCCTAAAGGTGACAGCTCAGCAAAGCTCAAGAAACTGACAGCTCACCACAAGTCAGAAGCAGCAGCCATGCATCATAAACTTCCTAGGTGTCCCACGTGACAACAAGCACTTCATGTCCATTCTACTGCCCTCTAGCCCTGGCCTCCCCATGCATAAAATGGGTCAGAAGCACTTTTTGTAAATGAGAAAATGAGGTTCAGAGAGAGTAAGTCATCTATCCAGGACATGGACAGTGAGCCAAAATTCTACTCCAGATTCTCCAGCAGTGCTATGCCACCAGGCCTGGTCAAGGGTTATGCTCAAGAGGACTTCTGACAAGTACACAACACCCCCTGAATACAGGGCCTGTGAACAGCCAAACTCATGTCTGCAAGCTTCACCAGCAACCTAATTAGCAATACTTTCTGCCAAATCCCTCTGCTCAACCTGCCGAGCTCTAGTGGTGACAAAAAAGGTATACATAGTTGAGCAAATGAATTCTAAAACCACCAAAATCAAAATAAAGTAAAAACATGCGGGAATGGAGTGAAGACAGGAAATTCAGTGTGCAGCGGGAGGTGCTGTACTGGAGATGCTGCCAATAAAACATTGTAGAGAGTACTCTTGACTCATGGCTGGTGCATCTACAAAGAGCTCTGGATGAGCCTAAAACCAGCACTCACCTTCATCTGACAACCACCACAGGAAGGGAGCAAGGCCAGCACTTAATCTCTAGGAAAGGCTAGAGCAGCTCAGAGGGGATTATACCCCTGAAGCTTCCACCCTTTCTTTTTCAGTTACTACTCTATATCCCCTTTTTCATTTCCAGTGTTTTCTCTACAGTAATACATAGGTTTGTTTCATCAAACACTTGACCATGACAACTAATTCCTCACTTTTACGTTGATTTCAGAGGTTTGGGGGCACTTAGTTTTTTTAGTCATAAAAGTGAAAATTAAAAGTAATATGACTACATTGCCAAGTTTTCTGGCCCAAAGATGAACTTGCCATCTTTTAATTCTCACAGCTACCCTTAATTTCAATTTATTCACCTAAGTTGAAGCTTAACCACTAAGAACAAGAAATCTAGTTCTATCTAGGCAATTAAAAAAAAAAAACAAAAACAAAACTATTTTCCCCCAAACTAGAGATGGGACAAAACGTTCAGCTTTTAATTCTACAAAACCCAAAACAAACCATTTGCCATGATCATTAGGTTACATAAAGAAAGGGCAATCTTCACCAGAAAGCACATGAACATAAGTCCTTCATGCCACCAAGTGTCAGCAAAATAACACTGTGGCCCTCCCCACTCAACCCAAGGCTCCCAGATGCCCATACTTACAGAAAGAGAGAGACAATGTGCATTGAGGCAGCACCCAGGGAAGGTATGACTGTCAACTCATTATTATTGAGGTATCTGTAACAACAAGAAATTAATCATGTAGAGCATTTAAGTTACTAATTTGAAATCACATACAAGTTAAAAAAAAAAAAAAGAATTGCTCGTTAGTCATGGTAAGGCTATAATCTAAAGTTAGATAAAAGATATTTCTTAAGAGAGAAAAATCATGTGAGGTCACAAAAACATTTATTACAACCACTTTCATGAAAAAAACACCAAAGAGAAGCCTGTCCTATCTCCCACCAGCTTCCCATCGAGTTCAGAAATCAAGACTAACAGACAAGGAACAGAAAGAACCTGCCAAGAAGCAGGTTCAGGTGAAACGTGGTCTTATGGCTATCAACAGGAATGCTCTTGTGGCTGGGAAAGGATTTTTTTTTTGGGGGGGGGGAGGCGGGGAGCAGAGAAACCATTCTATCCTGGTTTTTCCAGTTCTCTGCCCTTGCCAAAGGGCAACATGCACAAATAAGAGCTAGAAACCACTCACTCATGTGCCTGGCAGAGCTCTGAGGGACCAATTATTTCAATATGCCTGAGGGGGCTGGACTCAGAGACCCTCATCCATTTGAAGTGCCAGCTTCTCTGGACTCTGATGAAGCTCTAGATGGTCTTCCAGGGAAACAAATACCCGTGCTTTTGCACACAGACGTTTTGCAATTCCTCTGCAAACAAGATTTGCTCTCCAAGCTCCCTTCCCACTAGAACATTCTAAATCTGTATTTCCATCGTTAATATCTCTTAATGGAAGGGAAAGCCCAAGAACCAAAACAGAGCTTGCCTGGTCTGCCCCCAGAGGCTATGTAATCTGGCCTCCTTACATGGAGATGTATTTCCAAATTTGGGAAGGCAACCCAAAATCAGACTTGCAATGTGAGCCCAAAAAGCCATAAGAAAGCCAAAGCACAATGTTTGGGCTTTCTGCCGGGTGACAGGCTGGAAAGAAATTGCATCTGAGATTTGAAGTCACAGGGACAAAACTGGGTTATCTTGTTCTCAGTTTTTTAAGGAAGGCACATCTTACACAGAGCATCTTATTACTGTTTAAAGACAAGGCCACTGAAATGACAGCTGTATTCAGACAAGTACACAGCTTGCATTTAGAATAATCTGGTTGTCTGCTATCTTTTACAGAAATGAATGATAGAGGTTAAAAAAAAAGGCCCTGAATTATCCTATTTGCCTTCTTTGGTGCCAGAACCAGCGAAGGATGAAACTTGGCAAATACTAAACTGTGGACATAGAATACCTGTTTGAATAGTTTCGTGGGTGGAATATCTGGCAGAGAGGAAGCAGATCCATATCATGTGGTGAATCTCTTCTCCACTTTAAGAGCCCTTGTTTGTGTGCTGAAATTGACAATTAATTACTTTAAAGGGCTCTTATCTGACTGCCCCTAAACAAGATTGTTTCTGTTTCATCTTTATCTCTTCCAACCCTGTCACGATCCATTTCCCATCACTGGTGTAGGGGTACTGGAAAACGCTCCACCAGTCTAATCTCAACCAATAAATCTCACATTGCCCATCGATTTACTCATTACTAGAAGGGACCCTCAGGTTTTATCAGAGGTTAAAAAAAACTAAGATGAGGGATCTGCTGCCAATAAGGCAGGCTGCCTAAGGACTCTTCATTTCTTAAGATTTATTCTAAAACAGAGGATGGTAAGCAGCAGGTAACATAGAGGAGGCTTACTATGTGCTAGGCACCTCTCTAAGAGCTTTTCAGTGCATTAACTCATCTTTAGATGATACCTAGAAGTAGGTACCAGGAACATTTTGGTGCACCAATGAAGCAACTAAAACACTGAAATATTCAGTAATTTGACCAAGGTCACCAGCAAGAGGCCCAGGGATTCAAGCCTCAAAGTGTAGGTTCTTAACTACTACCCTCATTTCTTTATAATTAGAGCAAAACTACATATGCTTTGTGTAATTTCATCATCACAACAACTTCACATCAGGTATCAGATACTATTACTATTACCTACATTACAGTAAGTTCTCTAAAGTCAGTCTAAGTAGTTAGCCTAAGGTTACATGACCAGCAGGGGACAGCCAAGGGGTGAACAAAGGATGACTGCAAAGCAGAGAAGAGAGACAAGCTAATAGGCCACCAGCACAGGGCTGGTAATCACCTAGGTAACAGTGAAGTTGTTTTCTGCCTGCCTATGATCTGACTTGATTTTGAACCTGAAACCAAGAATATGGACATCTCTGCAGAGGAACTCTGGCTGATGAGCCTTGTTTTGAGTCAATCCTACTGTACATATGACAAAATGCTCCATTCAACTTCACAGAAATAACTGAACAAGGAAAAGCAGCATAATAACATTTCAATTCTCGACAGACCTATTAGAAAATGAAGTGTGCAAGGAGGTGGACCAGGGCTAAAGATTAACGGGGCATTGTAAGTCTCAATATGCAGCCCTGAGTCAAAAGGCTTGGTCAGAATTAGCAGGCGCTAATCTCAACAGGGCTGCCTGACTTATGAAAAGGACAGCTGAAGCCCAAAGGAGAGGAACTGTGCAGCTAACTTACTTTTAGATCACTTCTATTTAAGAAAGAAGTGCTGGTTCAATGTAAGTTGTTAGCTCCAACACTATTGGCTTCATTATTCCTTGCGTCCCCTGTAGAAATGAGAATGTGATCCTCCGAAGGCAAGAGAGGCCATACTTACTCTGAGCCGTAAAGAGTTTCTTGCCAAACTGAAACAGAGACTGGTCAAAAATAGCATCATTGGAGCATTGAGGGAAAGGCACTTGGGATGTTTAGCAAAGTCTTCATGAATACAGAAATTTCAGGGATTAATGATGGTGATGATGAAATCTTTTCACTATCTAGAGTTGTTCAATTTTCTGCCCCAAATACCCTCCAGCATACCTCCAATTTACTTTCCCCATTCCCCTCCCAAGTTTACTTTTACCCACAGTCGTGAAAATTTGAAGTGTCTGGCTTCTATAAACCTTTTCCTGATGATTCAGGACCAAGAAGTGCCTCGGATGCATCAGACCATGAATCATGGCCCAGCCCTGGAGTTGGAAGAGGTGTGAGTAAGGTCAATGAGCTGCATGGGCTGCCCAACCTCAGGGCACAATCTGGAGAAGGGATGCTTCCCACTCAATCCTTAAGATCAGCTGGGACTTTCTAGCCCCTCATCTTTCTCCCTAAACTTCCAGTTATACGCTTCTTTTAAAGGATGTGTTATATTTTATAAGATGCAAAATTTAAAAAGGACATTTCACAGTACATCATCAGCAGTTATTATTTTAATCAAATTTGTCTTTTACAAACAATATAAAACCCACCCAAGGAGTAAATGGGGCTACAGTGATTTTTTTCTTGCAGTATTGTGATATAGGCACACAGTAAAAACTTCAAACCATTTCAAGACAGAACACAAGGAATATTTAGTGAAAAAGAAGGCTTTCTTACACTTCAGTCCCCTGTCCGCCTCCAAGAGAAAGCTCTTGCTGCTGCCTGTGAGATGTGCACAGTTTTGTTTTATGCAAATGAATGGGTATTATGCAGCCTGTTCTACACTGCTGTTTTCACCTCAGTAATCTATTTTGCTCTTCAGAAATCTTTTAACCAGCTGCAGAGTAGTCCACTGCTGGTATGAATGGTAAGAATTAGCCAATCCACCCTTGGTTGACAGAGTGGCTATTTTCAGTTGATTCCAGAGACATAGCTGCAATTAGTAATAGTCAAGCTGGGCAAAGGTTAGAACTTTGGTAGGTTTTGTTTCTTAAGAGGGAGAAAGCTATCAGTAGCAGGTAGGAGTGCAGGTTTTGGAGTCAGGGCCACTTAGTAACTTATTATGATTTAGCTAGTGGAGAATAACGTGTACTAAATAGTTGCTTTGGCAAGACTTTATGATACCTGATGACCAGGTAAAATTATTTTAGCATAATGACATAGGAAATACAGTTCTCCTTTGGCACCCATCTGGGTTGGTCCCAGGACCCCTGAAGATAGCAAAATTTGCTCAAGTCCTTATACAAAAATGTGTATTGTTTGCACAAAACTTCTACACATCCTCTTGTGCACTAAAAATCATCTCTGGAAGACTTAGAATACCTAATAAAATGGGCATGTGATGTAAATAATTGCTATATTGTATTGTTCAGGGACAAGAAAAAAATCAGTACATGTCAGTACAGACATAATTTTTTTCAGATATTTTTGATCTGAGGTTGGTTGAACTCACAGATGCTAACCTATAGATACGGGGAGACAACTCTAACTACTGACAGTTAATAATTATATATAACAATAACAGTGAATGCTGACTATGTGCCAGACTCTGTCCCGAGCCTGAATGACAAGCCAACGAAGATACTAAATAATTATACTACCTCATAAAAAGAAACCAGGGCAAAGTCACAACCAGAGTAGAGATTTTTAGGAGGGGTTATACAGGTTGGTTTTAGAAACCAGATGGGCCTGGTTTTTCAACCTTACTTCCTCCCCTCACCAATCAAGTGCCTTCAGCATGCCATTTGACCTTGCTGTGGCTTACTTTCCTCCTTTGAGAAATACAAATACTACAAGTACCAGCCACAGAAGGTTTTGGCAGGACCAGCTGAAATAACTGAACTTGAGAATTTAGGCTATAGACAGATATATGGGAAATGCTTAACATGTGGTAATAATTCACAGCCAAAAAACAGTATCTCAAAACAACATCTTTCCTCAAACATACAACCATCACAACCACACTACACATGGATTTGGGGAGCCACAATTTGAGACAGAGCAGAGGGAGCCATAAATACCCATGGCAGGGCACTCACAAGGCTTCCTTGCTGCTCCAGGAACAGCTCAGGTCAGTGGCCCTGGGCAGCACAGGCAGCTCCGGCAGCAAGCACTCTTAACGCAGGCAGGGATAATGCGATCCAAGCACCGTTTTCAGAGGTCTGTATAAATAGCCCTCTCCTAAAGGAGCTTGGCATCCAGGGCTTGGGTGGAGGCCCTCCCTGGTGGGCTTTCCTTGGGACTGTGGGCAGTTAAGACTGTGTGGCTCGGAAGCAGCTGCTCAAGTGTCCCCGTGTCCTCCAGGGGCCTCCAAAGGGCTCATCTTCTCTTTCCAACCAGCCTGCAATGTTATGTGGTTCTCGGGCCTTCAAAATGAAACCACTGGTAAGCCATCACCCACTCCTCTGACAGCCTGTGGCTTAGAAGACTCTGCAGGGTCTGAGAGAGCTGACCACTCCTAGGAAACACTTGGGCTCAGTTAATTTGGAAGTAATGTTGTATCAACTGATTGTTTTTTTCTTCCATATCCTTCCTTACCTCCACCTCTTCCCCCTCCTGATGACTTGTGTGTGTGTGTGTGTGTATGTGTGTCCAGAATATATCACAATTCCCTTAAGGATTGCCCTGATTATCTATCAATGAAAAATTTTGCTGCTCTAGGCACCACGAATTTATCTCACCATTCACAAGGCAGGAAGCAACACCAGGGACAGGAGACAATCACAGTGGTAGGAGATTCAACCTTTTAGCACTCAAACATATGTTTCTAAACCCAATGTACAGTTCCAAAAGTTGCAGAAGAGAAGCAAATAATATTCAACAAGCCTTCCCCATGGCCAAGACCCTGTTCGTCATGTTCAATTAATAACTACAAATACTACTATACTGTCATTGTCACAAAAGTAGGAAAGAGCTAAGTTGTCCAGGGACACAGACTCCAAACCAGAACTCAAATCCATGTCTGCTTCTAACAATATGAGCATTTCCCCTACTTTATTATCGTGTATCCATAAGATAGGATCTCTAGTGCTACAACTCCTGCATTCAGGAAGGCAGCATTGCCACAATGAGTACAGGTGGGGACACAGCCTGGTTCTGCCACTTACTACTTATGGGGCATAAGATCTTATGAAGCGTGGAGGAGAAGAAGACTATAAGCTGAAGTCAAGGGAGTGAAACTAAATGAAAGTTGAATGCCTGTCTGACCAAGGAACGAGAGTTACAGAGGCCAATGCTCTCGGGAGCATCTACCACAGCTCTGATTGACATGATAAAGAATATAGTAGCGCAATATTTTTTAAAAATGTAAATGGATGCAAAACAAAACACATGGTGAACAAAATATCAAAAGTTTGAATCAAGACAGATCAGCAACAGCACTGTGTCAAGCCATTCTGGAATCTAAGATAAAAGAAAGAAAATCAGCAATACTGATCCTGTCTTAAGTGTTTATATTTTGCTCATTGTGGACAATTTTCTGCATTCATCTTTATTTTTTAATATCACATCAACACATCCATTATCCTGATGGGTGAGTTTTGGTGCCCTTATAACTTCTGTGTCTGGAGAAAGTATTTCACTAGCCACTCCCTAGTCCCAGCCCCATATGTGCATCTCAGTTGACCCAAGACAGCACCTGGCTCAGAGCAGATGCTCAAGTGTTAATTTTAATTTTGTCCAATTCTAAAAGAAACCACTAAGCTCTGAGACTGACACAGAATTTGAATTATTCTAACCACAAGCATCAAAGAGCCTGGATCAAGGAAAAACACTGGGTTATGAACCCAACTGGTTCCTGATAGACTGAGCTTATCATCTTGAGTGACTGTGATGGGCTCAAAATTCTTATGCTGTAGCTCTGACTTCCTCAGAGTGTGACTGTATTTTCAGATAAGGCTTTTAAAGAGGTGATTAGGGGGCCTGAGGAGGTAGCTTAGTAGTAGAGTACTTGTCTAGAATGTACAAAGCCCTGGGTTCAAGCCTCAGCACAGAAAAGAGAGAGAGGATACCAGGGATCCATGCCCACAGAGGAGAGGCCATGTGAAAACACAGCAAAAGGCAGCCATCTGCAAGCCAAGGAGAGAGGCCTCAGAAGAAACGTCCCCTACGGGCACCTTGGTCTTAGACTTCCAGCCTCCAGAACTCTAAGAAATAAATTTCAGTTGCTCAAGCTACCTAGCCTGTGCTATTTGTTCTTGAGGTCCGGGGAAAGCAACACAGTGCATCTCTTCCAACGTCCTTTCCCCTGCCACTGCCTTATTGACCCTTTGGGAAAATGAGGGTCCTGGACAAAGAATTTCCAAGGCCCCTTCCAACCTTGATGTTGCTTTAACTTTGTAAGTCTAAATGTTTTGTAATCAGACATGGAAATCACAAAAGCCAATTTGAAAAGTTTGGAGATAGGGGTAGAGAATGCAGATATTTTGCAAATTGTGCCAGTTGATGAGATTAGATTTTGTTTAGATAAGACACCAATAATAGAATCAAAGGATAACAACCAGGGACATATACCAGTGACTTATAACAAAAATGTGTAAAGAACTTATTTAATAATCTCTATCAAAAATATCTAATAATAATAGCACTGGGTGAATAGTTTATAGAGATCCATGGGTAGTTTTACATAAATATTAAAATAGGGCATTCAAAAATTTTAATTTATATAAAAAGTATTCTTAAATGTAAAGAAGAGGAGGTAAGGCAGATTAAAAAAAAAAAAACATAAAGAAGGCCAAGCATGGTGGTACATGCCTATAATCCCAGTGCTAGGAAGCTGAAAACATAAAGAAGGCCAAGCATGGTGGTACATGCCTATAATCCCAGTGCTAGGAAGCTGAGGCAGGAGGATTGGTTTGAAAGCCAGCCTGGACTACACAGCAAGAACACCTGTCCCCCTACCCCCCCAAAAAAGCTGTAATATACAGTTTGATCCTAAAATTATATGTAAGCAGGTAAGTGTGTACAATGGCTATGCCTGAATGAGAGTACTGGTGATTTTCATTAGTCCTCAAACCATTCCATAGCTGCCAATGTTTCTACACTATACCTACATGACACATGAGTTTCTGTAAAGTCCCTCTGGGGCCAAAATTCCTGATAACCCCAATATCCATGTCAAAAGAATTCTTTGCATTAAAAAGAAGAAAAGGTGGTACATACATGTGACTCCAGCTATGTGGGAGACTGTAGGAAGGAGAATCAAGAGCAGAGGTCAACACAAGGCAAAAACAAGACCTCATCCAAAAATAACTAAAGCAAAAAAAGGCCAATGGCATGGATGAAGAGGTGGAGTGCCTATAAAGCAAAGGCTCTCAGTTCAAACCCCAGTATCACCAAAAGAGGAGGAGAAGGAAGAAGAGGAGAAGACACTGAGACCTAGATTAAAGGATACTGAAAGTATTCTCATGGTCTAATACCTGACCCTTTTGGGGGATGAAAGGGAAAAAGTGAGTCCCTACTGTCCACTCTTCTGTCCCTGACTCCTACAAAACAGAAAGGGTGAGCTGGCACCAGGTACCACTGCTGAATAAGTGATCCTCATCCCTGGGAACTGAAAGTACCAACCCAGGTGTGTTACCCCAATTAGTCCACCAGGCCTCCTACAAGGAGGGCACTCTCCTACACACCTGGCTGGAAGCCATGATTTCCAGTAACTCTATAACTCTATGCCTACTGGATTGTAACATGCCCTGCACCGGCTGCCTAGGAACAAGAGAAGGGCTGCAGAAAAGGGGAAGTAAATAGATACTGCCTCGCTTTATCTATGGGGGTTAACATTCTAAGATCAATGGATGTCTGAAAGCACAGATAGTACCAACCTTACATATACTATGTTTTTCCCATATATATCTATTTTTAAAGTTTAATTTGTAAATCAGGCATAGTAAGAAATTAACCACAACAGCTAATAAAAACACAGCATTTGTACCAACATGCTATAATAAAAGTTACGAGAATGAGATCTCTCTCACTCAAAATATCTTACTGTACTTTCACCTTTTCACTTAAAGGAACCACAGTATAGCTTCTCCTTACATATGCATATTTCTAGCATCACTGCTCTCCTGCTTTGGTAAAAATAGGTAAAATAGGAGTTACTGGAATACAAGCACTGCAGGACCATGACAGCACTATGATAACTGCAATGACTACTCAGTGACTAACAGGCAGGCAGCTTGTACAGCATGGATGCAGTGCACAAAGGGATGAATCCTGACCTGGGCAGAACGGTACAAGATTTTATCACACTACTTATAATAATTTAAAACACATGAATTTTTTATCTCTGGAATTTTTCATTTTGTGTTTTTTTGGACTGTGGCTGACCACAGGTAACTAATATATGGATAAGGGAACATTACAGCACTGTTTATCACTGATGGTGCATATGCAAGTGCAAAAGCTCTTTCCCACAAACTTACACTACCAATCTAGGAGAGTGAGAAGGCTGCAAAAGGAAAGGAGCTCTCCATCCCCCACTCCCCAGAGGTTTGGGGAAAGCACTTACACTTCCTGTAGATTCGGCAAGTCTTCAAAAACAGCAGGGTCAATCTCAGAGAGTTTATTGTAACTCAGGTTCCTGGTAAAGGGAGAGAAAAAATTATGCATCAATACATGACAATGCACCCAAGATTAAGGAATATCCCCCTTTAAAAAAAAAATCTCTCCCTATAATATCCTATCTCCTGCATTACTTTAAATAACATTAATACTGAAATTTACAACTATATCTCTCTTCTCCACTTGCATCCATAAACAAGGCACTCAGAGCAAGGCTGTGAAATTTTAAACCACTTGAAGTTGGCTAAACTCAAATGGATTACTACCTAGCAACTTTAAAAAAAAAAAATTCTAAGGTGAATCAGTTCTCTAGCTACACTGAAGTCTCCTGGTCCAAATGCTTTCTACAATATGAAGCCAATGCTGTTCTGTCATTTTTACATTCATGCCTTACTAAAGCATCAACATCAAGCAGCAGTAAAGAAAAAGAGAGGAAGGGCGTGTGGGCCCACCACTGTTAGTGGTTCTCCACCAGGAATGATTTCCCCACCCCCACCCCACCCCCTGGGGACATCTGGCAATGTGTGGAAGCACGTTTGGATGTCACACTGTGGTGGAAGGTGTGTTAACAGTGGGCTGGCTGGTAAAAGCCAAGGATGCTGTTAAACATCCTACTATGGCCAGGCGGAACCCCCAACATCCAGCTCTAAATGTCAGTACTAGCCAGAGATCGAGAACTCCTAGTCTAAACAAGAATTTAAGACTAAAAATTGCTCAGATGAAGTCAAAGTTCAAATGACAATTTAGGAAAAAAACCGAATACTAAAGATTCCGAATCATAAAGTTATTTATGAACACAGTATTCCTACCATCGGTGAATAAGTATCGGGAATCACAGTCACACAGAAGGGAGCCAGCTGTAGGAAATTCATGTTGGTGTCACCCACAGGCCGGGAAAGCCTCGTGTGAGCAGCCTTCTCCTGGTGACAGCACCAGTCTCCCTTGTTCAGAGCTGTGCCTCTTCCCCCTTCATCACCCGGCTCTAGTCTTAGAGGCAAAGAGCAGGCTGGGCAGTGTTCAGTCAGCTGAGGTTCTTTCCCAGCTTCAACCCAGCCCTGCTGAGTTTTTTTTCGGGAACAGAAGCCCATAGAAGGTGATCGAAGTGATCCCTAACTTCTCACTCTGCACTGTCCTGCTTCCTGCTGCCGAGTCTACCAAGCCCTGCATGAGCTGAAGAGGTTAACGTTTTTCATCTTAGCTATTAATTCCATTAACACTACTCCCAATTAACAGTATTACTAATCATTAATTTAAAGTCTGTTTCTTAGAGAGTCATGTAAGTGGCAACTGTCTTTTAACCTTACTCCAGAGACATTTCAATCAATACTAACCTAGAGCTGATAGCCATTTCACTGTGAACTCAAAGACATTCATCTAAATAAAAGTCACACTGCACTTGAAACTAATGGTCCATCTGTGTTCACGGCACAGCCTGAATTAAAAGCAATTTGTCCAGAGATTAAGTTACCATAAAGATTGAAGGTAGTAATTTTTAAACCACATGTAAAAGTCAAGTATGAGCTTGTCTGTGCTTGGGGGTATTTATTAATGGGTAGGTAAAAATCAACAGGTTAGACCTGGGGAAGACCTGGGGAAGAAAATGGACAAATCTGGAGTTTGCTACATCAGAAAAGGACCTGGAGAGGCAGATTTTCTTCTGTTTTCAACAGATTATCAAAAGATGGGGGAGGGGGGACTGTTTCTGGTGCTAAAGACACTGAGAGCTTACAAGACTGTAGCAGACCAACACAGGTATCAAGAGTGGTCAAGGTGCAGGCGATATTAGAGGAAGACTTTCAGAAACCACGAAGGCAAGAGGCTAGCAGGGCAAGAGAATCAGGCAAGTGGGGAATGAAGCCGACAGGGAGACCCATCTGCCTGCCCTCCTGAAGGGACATCCTCTCAGTTTTCCAGAGAAGCTCAAATCTGCATTCTTATAGGAAAGCTTTTAAATTCTTTTTTTTTTTTTTAAAGTAACTGAGGTCGAGCCAAACAAAACCTGTCTGCCAGTCACATATGCCTGAGGACTTCAATCTGGTGGCTGCTGTCTCGGGCTCCACACATGTCCAGGGGTCAAGCGGGGGTTCATACAGTGTCCTACAGTTAACTGATGGCTCCATTTTGAGCCATCTGAAATAAAATCGCTTCCCTCCTTCCCCTCAGCAAGTGTCCATACTCTTTAGTAACTTAGAATAAATTCATTTGAAGCCACACACCCACTGGTTTGCCTTCCCCTAAGGCTGCAGACAATGTATATCTGAATTTCAGAAATGCTGTGTAAATTCTGCTTCTTGGATCAAGCTACTTGAGCAAAGGGCCTTCCTCCAACTAGAACCATCCAGAAGCCAAAGACCATCAGGACTTAATGAGGGAGTGCCAGCAAGGAGCCACAGAAGTGAAAATACTTTAAGTGGAAACGTTGGCTCTCCAGCGGGTCAGCTGGATGTGGTGACTTTGGATTTAAGTGAACTAGAAAAGCTGCGGATCAACACACGAGCATCAAGGGACTGCCTAGAAAGGTCAATTGTCCTCTCAGTGCACCTACAGGCAAATAAGAAAGAGCGCTGAAAGTCATGTGCCTTGAACACTTTCTGCCTCTAGATACAGAGCTGCTCTAGCTTTTAAGCTTGAAAAGTCAGTGGTCAGAACAAGCTGCTGAGCTTCAAATACTTCACCAGGAAATGAAGACAATCATTTACTATATTCTCCCTGGTGAATAAAATAAGAAATAAAATCCTCACAGACACTTCCTCCTTAGCTCGTTTTTAGGGAGATAAAACTCCCAGCATTTTTTTTGTTGTGATAAAATGTACACAAAATAAAATTTATCATTTTGACCATTTTAAAGTGTGTTTGGTGGCACTATGTACATTCACACTGATCACCCACACAAAGAGCTTTCTCAACATCCCAACTAAGGCTCTGCACTCATTAATCAGAAGCTCCCCATTCTGGTCTGTCTCTGCCCCCAGCAACCACCACTCTGTCCTATCTCTAAAAACCTGACTACTCTACGAAACGCATGTAAGTAGAATCATAAAGTTATTTGCCCTTCTGTGTCTACCTTATTTTATTTAACACAATGCCTTCAAGCTTTATCCATGTTATGTGTATCAGAGTTTCATTTCTTTTGATGGCTGAATAATATTCTTTCTATAAACACACATTGTGTAACTATTCATCTGTGGACAGACATTTGGGCTGTTTTCTACTATGCTACTATGAACATCAGTATATTTTTTTCTCCAAATTAAAACAATTTTAAACAAAGGTTTTGTTTTGTTTTAACCACTGACTGCTATGCTTACTGACAACATTCAATGACAATTAAGGAAAAACACTCAGTCCAAGAAGTCAGCAGAAATAGGTGTCAATTGTCATGTCAGACCCCAAAGAACAGCCAAAGGGTTAAAGTAAAACCTTTAGTGAGGACTTTCCTCCAGGTGGCAGCTGACGGGCACACACATCTAAAGTATCTCACTTATTTTAGGAACACGATCGCCCCTTCCCAGGCCTGACATCTGAATGGGTCTTCAGTTAAAGGTTTCGGATTCTCCTGTCAAAACAATTCATCTGTCAGCAGGACAGATGCTGTCAAAAGCATTTCTGCACCTTTCAGTAGCAGAGAACTGGAGAGGAAAGAAACCTTAGGGAATTTAGTTCCTGCCAAATGCAGCTTTCATTAAACATTTTGTCAGCCATTGTCATAACACAAATTTTCCCTGTTCTTGCACAAAGGGTTCGCAGATCCTCAAACAATTGAGCCCAGCCATAGATATTCTTTCACCTAATCTGCTGAAAGATGACCGTGCGGCCCACCATTTGCAGCACACAAGAGGCACTGCTGCAGAAAACAGCTCGAGTTCTATCCAGGCGTGTCTGAAAAGCACGCTGTTTAACAGAGCACAACAACACTCTGCTCACTGAGCATGTCCCCTGACAAGACCCCCTGCCCAGAGCACACAGATTTTGAAGAGCTTAAATCTTTCAATAGCTGATAAATCCCTACCGCTATCTAAACTTAGTCACTACTGGTGTGGCTGTGTCCATTTAAACTACTTAATGTTACGTACAATTATGAATTCAGTTCCTTGGTCACACTAACCATATTTCAAGCATTCAGTAGACAAATGTGGCAGGTAGCTACTGCACTGCCTGATGCAGGTGGGGTGTTCCATCATCACTGAAATATCTATTAAACTGCACTAGATCTAAATCATATCAACAGATATTTCTAAATAACTAGGTATCAACAAATATTCCAAGTGAAGAAGAAAGTCGGATTCTAAAGCTAAACCTCTGGAGATAGTAGCACTTGCATAGCATACATGAGGCCCTGGGTTAGATTCCCAACACCACACAGAAAAACAATCAATAAATAAACAAATAAAATAGCACTGGTTGTGTAGCTCAGTGGCAGAGAGCTTGTTTAACATTCAGAAGGCCCTGGGTTCAATCCTCTGCACTGCAGAATAATAAAAATAATAATGATTATACCTCAATTTCCTAATAATTTGAGAGTTTTGGTGAAAAGTGTGGAGGATATGTACACTGATATTAACCTAAGTCCTTTAAGCACACAAAACTCTTGACCATCCTGAAACAGGAAAGGGCCTTTGAAAGCTCAAGTGCCTAGGAAGACAGTACTAATAAAATGACCCTTGGAGTGTAATTGTATAGGCTTAATCGGTATTTACATAGCCTATTTCCCAGTACTCAATTCTGGCAGGACTCCTGAACACCACAGTATTCTGCACAGCCTAAGCTTTCAAATGTTTGCTAAACTGAATAATACAGCTGGAAAAGAGGTAGAGGCAATCCAATCACCTAACTTCCCAGCACGAGTAGGCACCCTGGATGGCCCAGGAAATCTGTTTTTCAGGACACCATAGGCTCCAGCTACCCACCTCTTCCTCAACCTCAGAACTTGTACCATTTGCCACTATTAAAAAGGAAATCACCTGCTCAGAACCAGCTTGTAAAAGGACTGGTCCTTTCAAGATTTCCAGGGGTGTGAGT